ACACACACACACACACACACACACACACACACACACACATATATTATATTATACATTATATATTATATATTATATATTTATTATATATAATGAGACTATCCTTTGACCAATGGTAAAAGTGCTTTTTGAATACCTGTGTTTATGATTTAGCTCCACCAGGACTGACCAACCCCATCTACCACATAGACCAGCTCTTCACCATCACAAAGGCATAGACAGCTCCTCTGTGACCTCCCTAAAACACCCAGGGGGGCTCGTTCCTTCCAGCCACTTCTTTCTGCTCTCTGGATCCTCAGTGACTTGTCTTTCTCTCACCACCAGCTAGGCCTGTTCTTTCCCACAGAGAAGATCCTCCTGGTCCCTGAGGAACTGGCCTGTGCTGCACCACCAGGTCCTGCAGCTCCTACCTTTCCACAGTAAACTCTCTTCCTGTGACTTTCCTCCCCTGCCATCATGCTGTCTTTGCTCCTTCCCACATCTTAGAAAGCCTTCACCATGGTCTTGCTTCTCTACACTGCTGGGCAGACATTGTTTTCCTTAGCATACTTAGGCCTTCTAATCCTCTAGGTTCTTGCTTCTCATCATTGCCAGACTTCTTGGGTTTTGCAGAAACTTTCCTCCCCATGCCTTCACTGTTTTCAAACATTTCCAAAGCACCAAAATTACCATGTCTGTGAGTGACAAAGTTGGAGAAAATTCTGAAGCCTCCACTCTAGGGTGTGGCACTGATGTTTCTCCATCTCTGCAGTCCTGACCCTCCCTAGGACATGACACTCCATAGTGATCATGGGGGAGACTCAGCATGGAGAGCCTTGAAGTTGCCTTTCCATGAGACAAGATTGGAAGGTTCTAGCTTCCCAATAGAGAAATTAATTCTTTAATGAACTGAAATGTCTTCAAAGTTATTGAGAGGGTTTTGACTTGTGTCATTTCCGTTATTGTAGCACTCACAGGAGAGTGACACAAATCTAGGAACTAACTGATCTTGTGTCCTTCTAGGGGAGGGTTCTAACTGCCATAGGAGATGGTCTCCTGGGCCTTGTATGTGGTTAACTGAGAGGAATAAACTGTGAGTAGAGACAGGAAACACCTTTGCTGGCCCATCTGCACTTACTCCCCAGGCTCTACATAACTGATTTATTTTGTTTTTATCTTTTTGATGCCTCATTGTAAAAATACTTAGCAATGTTATTGTTCATGTGGACTTGATTTAATTGTAAATCATAATGGTATTTCAGACTGTGTTCCTGTGTGTTTTCTTTGATAGAACAAGGTCTCCAATTGATTAATCTCACTCCTCCATATGGATTACTATGAAATGTTTTATACAGATTTATACTTTCTCAGCAATACTGTATAGGTCAGGATTGTTGTCCTAGGACTCTTGTTTGACTGGGAAGAATCATGAGAGTAATAAGATGGAGATTTGTGGAGAATGGAAGCTTTGTTTATTCTTGAGACATCCAGTCTGTCTCCACGGAAGTCAGCCCTATGCACTTTGCCCGAGTCCCGCTGGTTCACATCTAACAACAATCCAGCATTCATGTTACTATTAATTTTTCTGTTGACAGTTCCCCAGAATTCACACATAAAGGAACCCCTCTTTCCTTTCTATCCTGACTCTGTGGTTTATATCTGTGCAAAAGATTTCATGATGGTATCCAACCTTTATGCTGCTATAAGATATTGGGAGGGCAGTGGGCTTTGGAGGACAAGAAATTTCCGCAATAAAAATCGACAGATTGTAGGCACGCTATCAATGGAAGAATTATTTTTTCCTGATATTCAGCCCTTGCAGAGCCAATGTGTGTGTGTTCTCCTAATTAAAACAGAACAAAATAAAAAATAGCCTAATAGACAGAATTGCTTATATACAGATATGCAAAAGTTATAGCAGAGTCAAAAATCAGTAGAGGTCATAGATGTGATTGACACCTCTAAAAACAAAAATCTCTCTCAGCCTCTCTCTGTGTCTCCTTCTCTCTCTCTCTCTCTCTCTCTCTCTCTCTCTCTCTCTCT